GAAGATGAGTGTCGGTGATGAAAGGCAGCGTGTTAATACAGGACGAGGAAATAACATGCTGTACCCTGAAGGACTATTAAACAATGCTGCTACTGATGTCATAGAGCCCAGTCTTATTATGAGGTCTCGTTTACGCACAAAGATGTAGGTGGTGTGATTGAAATACAGCACCAGCAACTGACAGGTGATGCAAGCAGCTGACAAAGCCGTTGATAAAAACACTCTGCAGCTTAACCGAGCTCAAAATTTAAAAGACGCACAGACCGAATCAGATCTGGATGCAATTACAAGCGCATACAAACAAGACCAACTGCAGTCAGTAGTTGAATAAACTTTGTTGGCATGAGTTGAAGATTTGACAAGCGGTGTTGTGGAAACATAAAGATTTAGTAAATAATGTTCATGGATACCCACTGAATCACATCTGGTCTTCATAAGATTATTTGACTCTTGGCTTTTCTACTAATGTTCTTTGTTACAGAATTATGGTAATGATTTCTTAGAAATTCGGACTGGGTGAAAAACGCAGTTACCAGATAGAGAGACCTTCACCACAGCTCAGAGTTCGTTGATTCCTCTCGGCAAGTGCCAGGGGAGCTGACAGAGCCCAGAGGCTCATGAATCAGGTGGACTTGCTTTGAATTCCCAGTCCATCCACTGTCCATGAATGCACCCTCTATAAGAATAAATATGGGAAAAGGGAGGGATACATTATCAGAAAGAAAGAGCGGGAAAGGTTACAACAACAGAGCACGAAGCTCACAAGTTCAGTTGTGCTTCTGCTGGAACGGCCGTGCCCCTGTGGACAAGTTCAGTCCTTCAGTAGAAGTCCTCGCCCTCCAACAATAATACTTACAAAATAAAGGCTGACCGCTCCAAGTAAAATCACTTCAGCTGAGTTCAATCGCTATTATTCATGTCCTGGTTCTCCATTCCCTGCTCCACGGCTCCTGTGATATTAATAAGGTAAGCCCTTTGAGCTGAGAAGAAGCCTACCAGGCGTTATGTCAACATTTTTGCTTGCCTCCGCCTTTATTGTCAGCTGATGGTCAGCACCTTGGTGTGAGAGCTCGTGATCAAACGGCCTGGAGGCTTGATCACAGGGCTATTGCAGATCAAATTCTCCTTTAAACAAAAAGTTTGACAGGTCGCTTATTTGCGTTCTTGATGAGAGTTAGATGAGAAGACCCCACTAACACCTGACACCACTCTGATTAGTATGGTAAATACAAAGCTACCGCCAGCAGCTGGTTAGCTTAGCTTAGCATAAAGAGTGAAAACAGCTAACCCAGCTGTTTTCATTCTCACAAATGACCTATTTACACCTTAAAGTATGACATCAGCGTTTTGTCAATTTGGCCACTTGCCTTATATCCGGTCGTTAAGTGATGACATGATGAATCCTACTTCCGGGCCTAAAGTAGCCTGTGTTTAATATGGCCTTTGTGTTGTTAACATGTTTAATGTTTTGTATTTTCTTCTATTTAATCTCAAAAAGCTCCTAAAACAGTCAGTGATCACTGTTGACCTCCCTCGGCTTTTATTACCGCTAATCATTTATTTAAGCTCAGTATTTAAAACCTTAGGATGTAACTACAGCCCAGCCCATGCAGCAGTATATGAATGACTAACCTCGTATTGTGGATGGATTATCTCAGTTGTTCTCCTGGCTGAAGTTTGGTCCTTTTACAGCATCCTGCCATGCGATTACATTTGTTCCTGACCACCGAGAACACTCACGTTAACTTTTATCGAGTGGAAAAAAAGTTAGCTTGTTTATATTATGCTAACATAGCTGTGTCGCTAGCGGTCACGTAGCACATCATTATATACCAGCTAGCCCAACTTCAGTAACCCTACAAACGTCACTGCTGTTTAGTTTTCTGTCTTCATTTATGTTGGAAGTGATAACAGAGCTGTTTTAATTTGTTTCTAAAACCCCGCAGTCAGGACATGCTATATTGTATTTCGATAGAAGCTAGCGAGCTAACTTCCTGCTAACTTCTAACTCCGTTAAATGTCATAAATTCCGTTTTCATGGATGCCTGGATGTTAAACACAATTGTTACACCTGGTAGAGCAGAATGCTGATCATTTTATTAAAGATGAAAGACTTTAGACAGTGTTTCAACTCTCAGTAATGCCATAGTGATCGTTTGATATATGGACCTGCAGCGGAGTTTAGGCCCAGACACGGCTAGTGACGTCAGACTTAACGACCGGATTGGCGTTTGAATGAACGGCAACAAGTGAAGCAAAGGATTCCTTTTCTTGGCCTTTTGTATAGCACTGTTCTTTCTTTATCATTCGGCTTACTTTTTATCATATTGTAGGAATGTATTTTAATACCTTGGCTCCTTTTTTACCCTGGAGAAAACCTAGCATTAATTAAAATAGGTTGAGTTGTTTCACCCACATAGGGGGACATCCAGGGCAGACACAGAACTCCATGGAGTTATATATCTTAAAAAAGTCTGGGATTTCCTTTGGGAACTACCAGAAGACTGGAAAATGTTGTTTGTCAAAAGGACACTACTTAGCCAGCTGTCACTACAGTACAGATAAGGTAAAGAAAATGGATGGATGGATGGACTATTTACATGTACCATGATCTTTATAGGCAACAGTAACTGGCGGATTATAAAGCATGACCCAAAACACAACAGTTAATGATTTTTATGACTTTGGAAGAGTGAGTTTTTACTTCAAGAGTCCAAAGTGAGAGCAACAGGGTGGAACGACTGGAGGATGGACGAGCAGGTGGGTTTGAGAGGTGAGTACTTAACTAAGACTTTCCAAATGAGCCAGATCAGCATGAAAGAAAGAGGTAAGTGATACAGGCAGAAAGGGAACTCTTCAGCTTTTCAGGGGCAACTACGGAACAAGATATCAAAGACGTTAGCACAGGGGGGAACTTTGGAAATTACAGGAGCCATAGAGAAGCCTGAATGCTGCGCTACTGTTGACAAAAATATGGCAGAGATCGGATGTTTTAGTTGGTCTTTAAGTTCAAGATAGGAGATGAGGAACAGGTCAAGGAATGGGCACGAACAGGAGACTCCATCTACAGGTTAAACCCATCCTTTACCTAAAGAGCTAAGTCAGTAAAAAGCATGGGGAAAATCCCCTGAACAGTACAGGACCATGACAACATTTTCAAACCACAGACTACTTTAACTATTTTAACTTTCTCTGATTTGTGTGAACATCAAAACCTTCTGAACACCATATTTTATACCACAACCACCATTTTTTGTTGGACCAAGGTTAAGGTCTTTGTTCGTAGGGGTGCCTCACATCTGTAATTTTGGTTTGCATCAACTGGAAACCTTGAAGGCAACAAGTAAACAATAAGGTGTGAAAGGACCCCTTTAGTGACTTCTACAATAATAATAATGGATTGGATTTATATAGCGCTTTACAATGCCACTATTCATTTACTCTCGCATTCACACACTGGTGGAGGCAAGCTACGGTTGTAGCCACAGCCGCCCTGGGGCAGACTGACAGAAGCGAGGCTGCCATATCGCGCCATCGGCCCCTCTGGCCAACACCAGTAGGCGGTAGGTGAAGTGTCTTGCCCAAGGACACAACGACCAGGACAGAGAGCCCGGAGATTGAACCGGCGACCTTCCAGTTACAGATACGCTTCCCAACCCCCTGAGCCACGGTCGCAGAGAGCTGGTTGCATGCTTGCTCTGTCAAATGTCACCGAAATCAGAAGAATCAGTTTTCCAGAAGCCACATGCCTGCACAAGATTACATGGAAACCCAGCAAATAGTTCTTGAGGCACTTGCAATCTTGATTTAAGAGGTGTACTCCCGATTCCCAGAACTACTGGAAATGCATTGATTAAAAAACCCGTCTTCAAGCAAAACAATCAGATTGGGGTGGGTTTGTTTTTTTTAATATAGCTTCAAAACAACCAATATAAACATTCTTTAAACAACAAAGAGAATTGCTTTCACTTGGCTGGTGATATAGAGGCAACAGAAGAAGAATGCTAACCCTAACCCAGGTTAACTAGGAGGCTTGAGCTCAACCTCTTTTAAGATAAACTTTCACTTGCCATTTAATTGGACTTTTTTGGTTAGATTAAGGAACATAAACTATGTGGTTTGCCTAAAAATGTTCTCCTTTTAAATTGTAAGATAAAATGACCAACCTGGCTCAAAACCATGTAAAAGTGACCACATCAGAACACACTGTACTCGCACCAGCTAACGAGGCCACAAAAACATAACTTTAAATAAAACTTGTAATAAGAGCTTGCACAAGCAACCTGTGGGTTTAGTCTCCTTATAAATAAGATGAACCCCTCCTCCAGAATTTACAAAAGAGATATATTGTTAAATTTGTGACTTTTAGATAAACTGACATGACTTTTGTTTTCATCAAACAGAATATGCTAGCCATTTCAGCCTATTTTCCGTCTTTGAACCAAGTTCAACTAACAGACTTCTTCTATTCAAAGTCTTGGCAAGAAGGTATAATAGTGATTGGTGATACCAGACAAATAATCTAAGTAGGTGCCTTTTTACCTGAGTCTGGAGGCGACAGCACCTTGTTGATGGGGATCTTGTTAAGTCACTGATACCTCTGAAAGACTCCCTGTGTGAGTTGTCTTTCTTACTGCAGCAAGTCTCCATCTTATCACCTGCTGGGTTAATTTCAACATGTGGATTTTGAAGGGACAGATTTGAATCAGTTCCTGCCCTTTGACCCTCTATGAGCCTTCTTTCCCCGAGTTCTTTAATGTGGTTAAAATTATAGCACACCATGTTTCCCCATCTTTAATAACCTTAATTCGCCAAATCTTTAAATGTACTAAATGAAGTATGTCACCTTTTGCTTCCCTATTAATGGACTTATACCACATCTCCTGTGACCTTTGATCTTATACGTTGATGTGTCCCTGTGGGAGACATGATGATGATTTTGTACATTAAACAATTGTGAGCTGGCAGCAAAATGCTCTCTCCCTCAATATATAAAGCAGCTTAAAGTCCAATCATACCAGTTGTTAAGGCAAGGCTCAACTGGCGAAAGTCTTAAGAAATAAACATTGTAGATACCATGATCTCTGTCTACTCTGTCTTCTTAACTCTGCTGCTTTTCACTGAGCTGAGCAGCCACTCAGTCACCGTAGCCATGCCTGCAACTAATGCAGAGGATGGTACAACAGAAGAAGACAGCCTGGGTTTGATACTGGGTGACAAGTCGATCTCTGAGCCCGCTGTGATCCCACCGGTGTTCAGGCAGCGCCGAATCAGGGATGAAGATGGGAACCCAACAATCATCATCTCGGTAAGTGTTGCAACTTTCATCATGCATTAACGTTATTCCTTTTTGTTGCGACTTTTTAGCCTTTATTGTTATCGCACAGTGGAGACAAGATCTCCCATTTCTTTTCCTTTTCCCCTGAACCCCAAATGGTGTGGGCAGATGGCTGCCCCTCCCAGAACCTGGTTCTACTGGAGGCTTCTTTCTGTATAAAAAGAGTGTTTTTCCTCCTCATTGTTGTCAACTGCTTGGCTTCAAAGGGGTTCGTTTGATTGTATTATTGTAGGGGTCTATGCCTTTGAATATAAAGTATATAATGCCTTGAAGGGATTTTGCACTATATAAACAAAATTGATTTAAACTGAAGAAAGAACATTTTTCTTACAGTAATATATTTGAATTGTACTCAATATACAATATATACAATAATTTTTACTACGCTGATCCTGATAATAATCAGGTGTCAATCATTATGGTTATGTTTTAAAGGATTCTGAATTGGTTGAAGGTCCAGTAACTCTTATTAAGAAGTATTAAAGTAGTTCTTTGTAGTACAAGTGTTGCTGGAACTTAAACCTGAGCAGATGTCCATGCGCCTTTGAAGTAACAAACTAATTTTACAGCGTGGGCCAAATACAGTCCAGTTTGATCTGAAGTGGGGGAGACCAGTGAAATTTCATATAGTTTTAACTACATGTTTTATGCCCGAGATACCTTAATTTAAGGAAAAGAAGTGCAATTTCAACTACACATCTTAGTTTTTCTACATGGAAAATAAAAGCTGTTGTGGCAGCCTGACTCTTTGTGCTTGTATTGTAAAAAATAAATGTGTAAAATTACAGCAAAAGTTCTGGTAGCTAAAATTACCAGACTGTTCTGTAATTATAAAGGAGAAAGCGTTCATTAATTCTTGTAAAAAAATATCCAGAAATTTTTATATTGGATTATGAAAAAACTTATATAAAACTATAACTGTGTAGGTAATTGTCAAGTACTTTGATGTAGAATAAAAGCCTGTACAGGTGGCCCTGTTGAATAAGAAATGCTTTAAAACTTAAAATTTTATCTCTCTCTCACTATGTATAATATATCCGTATTCCCGCCGTACTAACTTACTCCTGAGGACTTAATATGTCTTTATTTATATTATTAATATTATATACTATATATCTTAATTTATTAATTATTCCATGCTATATATAGTTATTATATAATATTAGTATTATATAATTATATATATATTATATATATATATATATATATATATATATATATATATTATTTATATGATATATAATATATATAATTATATATAATATGATATATAAATAGTAATAGATATAGATATATATAAGATATAATATATAGATATATTAGACAATTAATAGTCTTCCTATGCCCTCATTCACTTTTTCCAAAGTTGTCCAGTGGGCCGGATTAGAGTTGCCAGGCCACTTCTTATGTTTGACACCCCTGCTTCTACACTGTTCCCATAAAGGATTCAAATTTTCCCAAAAGTCCCCACAAAACAAAGGAGCTTGTGAAAAAAACACATTCTTCCTGGAATGTAATTACTAATATTGCAAAATCAGTGTTGTTTTATGTTCATCTGAGACAGTATTTCTGAGTGAATCTATGGACAAGAGACTGATATATGCTGATTTTTGGTTTGGAAATAATGAATTGATATTTTCTTCTCTTTGTAAGGTGACCTTGGGTATTAGAAAGGCGCCCTCAAATATAACGTATTATTATTGTTATTAGGTATAGTTCATTTTTATTCTTGAAGTTGACTAGAGTTGCTCACAGTTCAAAATACTGCTTAAAAAGCTGCGCACGTGAGGCTATATCCACACAAGGGAATAGCTCCTTTGAAATGAAAATGAAAAATATTACCTCAAGGTCTGTCAAGAATATGGAAAAGCAAGAGGTAGGCATATAACACTAACCGAGAAGAAAAGTTGGCCAGTCAAAAGTCAATAAATAACAATGCACTACACTGTCTGACATTAGAAAAGGAGCTAAAGTTCCACACCATTGATGTTGCAAGAAAAAAATCTAAATTTTCGTTGTTGACAAAAGGCCAAAATACCCATGTACATACTACGTACATCCATTGCAGCCCTTTTCCCCAACTGTTTAAGCTAGCTTTCTTTTGATTGCTGCCCCTCATTTTTATTTTATTTTATTTTTTTACAAACACCCACAGAAAATATGGAAAAAACAAATAAAGGTCCACTTTTCACAATACTAAAAGGCTATTTAACCAAAGACCAACCCTGCTTCGAATCCCCACCTACACATAGTCTTACACTCTCCTGAACAGGGATGTCAAGCTCACTTGACATTGGGGGCCACATACCGAGCCCACTTTGATATAAAGTAGAGTGGACCTGTGAAACTATGTGCTAAATGTGTAAAATGACAAAAAAAAAGTTATGGAAGTTCATTGCACAGACTGTCCTGTAAATAGAAAATATAACGTTTTCATTCATTCACAGTGGGCTGGATATATTCTGGCGCCCAGGCCTTATGTTTGACACCCCTAGGGTAAGCACTATAATTAGTGCTTAAAGAAAATTATAACCAGCGATTTTGATTCTTTTTTGGATCAAATTAACTTAACAGCAAACTATCCACTGTCATTCAGCCTAACACTGTTCTGCCAGTGACGGTCATGCCTCATAAATCTTCATTGTATGAGATTTTTTTTCATAACAACCTCAGCTAACCATAGTTCAACAACAAAGAGAACATTATCTCCATCCTGTGACTGAATACTTGACCCCTTTCAATTGGCCACCGTCCTCGCTTCTACTGTTAAGTCAATACTTCACATAAATCTATAAAAATATTTTACGGCAACGCTGGAAAACTGGGAAATACTATTAAGCGAAAAGGTCAAATGATCACAAGCCTATAAAGATTTATTGGACTCTCAGTGGGAAGAATGACGATATATCAGTGTTTCCCCCAAATGTTTAGCTGCAATGTGTAAAAGGTTTATCTGCAGACTGCGTCTTGTGTGTTATGAACAGGGTGGTTATCTCTGTGGTAATGGGAAACAGGCAGCCATGATGGAGACAAAGACATCTGGGCGAACCGGAGCTGTGGAAGAAAACGGGCCACTGTGATATAGTAAAAAATGAGGGAACACATTTCTTCCATTTGGGGTTCTTGTGGCTTGGATCAGCTGGTAAAAGCAGATCCAACACCTGTACTACAAGTAAAAAGGATAATCTTTAAAAGCTGTTCCTGCAACCTGACCATCCAGAGTTCACATCTTACAGTACGGGAATGTGTGTGTGGGCCCCGGGTGTCACATGTAATCACTGATCAATATGATGTTTTTCAGGATGCAAGGCTGAAAGGGCACAGTGTTCGAGGGCTGAACCCGGCCTTCACTCGGAGCCTTCCTCTCCTCGCAGATCGAAGCCTGAGCCACACTCCTGCCGAGTACAGCGTGAAGATAGATCGCAGAGATACCGACCTTGACGGTAAGCATATGGAAAACCAGCATTTCTTGGAAAATAAACTTAAAAAAAAAAAAAAAAATGCCATATAAACTCAACTGCTCTATGTGGTTTCCTTTCCTAACCTAGTGCTGCGATGTATGATTGGAAGAGTGTACCGGCCCTGCTGGGAAGCATGAGCGACGTCAATGAATGTTTCCTCCTGTATGGTATAAGAAGATTAATTTACTTGTAGGAAATAAAGCAGACAAACATGGAAAACAAAATAAAAGTTTATTAACAATTGCAAGCTGTGTGTTTAAAGAGTGGATGTAAATGGTAGAATCTTGAAAATAATTGAAAGGTAAAATTTACATACTAGCAGTGACGATATACATTTTATTTCCAAGAAGGTGTTATTAGACTCATTTTAAAATTGATTAGTGATAAAGTGCAATGACCAGCTTGCTTTTCGCCTAACAATGTTGGACATTTTAGTGGCTAAGTAATATTATTTATACTTTTGACATTTTCAGAAAGAGTTAATAACACTGTTGCGCACATTTCATACGAGGTCTCAGTGTAGCTTAGCATAAAAATATTTAACTCTTAACAGCAATCACTAAGTCACTAAAGATCACGTGATATTTTACCGTGTGTGTATATATAAAATACTCGAGGTTAAACAAGATGACAAATGATTCTAAATGGCAGCCCAAGCTGGAGTATACTCGTAGTACACAAGCTTCAGCTGCTTCATATAAATATCTGATAGAAAAGTCCTTATTGTGTCATCGTTAGTGCAAACACTGGTTAGACTCTGAAGAAACTGGTCAGCTTCCCTTGTCCAGCTATGAGCTTCTTCTTACTCAAGGCCTTGCTGCCATTTTTGCCAGGCATTTTGACTGATGTGCGAGTTGGCTGTTTCTTCTCCGGAGGCTCATTTTCAGATCCACCGTGTTGGTCCAGCTGCTTTCTCTTGTTACCCCTGCTTTGCATCTGAAAGCCAGTTCCCTTTCCATTAACCAGGCTTGCACCTTGTTTTGGGGCATTTCCACTTCTTTGCTCGAGAGCAGCCCCCCGCTGTATCTCACCCCGTGCCTTATTTGTACATTCAGAGGACTTGGCTGCAAATGTAAAAGAAAAACAAAAATGAAATAAATAATTAAAAAGCAAAAGTAAGTGTGACAAGTTGGTAGGGGGGAAAGGGAAAAATGTTGTGACGAAATTGCTTACGTTAGCTGCTAGTTGAAGCAGGCTGTGTGTTTATTCTCTGAACCTGAATTTCAACATTTGTCATGTTAACCTGATGGAGCAGAGCCTGAATTCCCACAGAACAAAAAGCAGAAGGGGGAAATGGGCAAAAAGTCTGTACAAGACTGTGTGTGTGTGTGTTTTGTTTTTTTACGACAGATGTGGGGGTGAGGAGGTTTTATAGAATGGGAATTAATTTAACAGCAAGTTGTAAGTACCAGTCCCACAACTGGGACTGGGAAGGCTCCAAGGCCGGAGCTGAGAAGGTGAGCCTGGGCCTCGGTCCAGCTGTGTGCCGTCAGAGGAAACAGAAGTCTGTTCCAGCAGATAAAATGCAGCACGTCTTGTTCTGACATTTGACATGTTGCTGAGTACAAAAAAATAAAAGATGGTGGTGGGGTAGGGGGTGTAGCTTGTAAAGAAAAATAACATAAACTTTTACCTTTTGTTGAGTCTTCCACATCAGAGCTGCACCCATCATTCACAGATGTGGTGGTTTTAGCTTTGGGTGGGTGCACGCAAGTGGGAACCTGGCTAGTGCTCGGGAAGTCCAGCACACGGTTGAGAGGCAGCTCTTCGTCATTGTAAGTGCAGGCGAACTGGGATCGGATGACTCTCTCTCGGACCTGGAATAAATGCAAAACAACTGAAATCCAGCTGATATGGCGACTGGTGATCAGTATCAAGAACTCAGGGCAGGTGGCCGAGATTTTTCTGGCCCTTTCTTTTGGCGTTTTGAAACAAAGACCCTTTTAAGTACTTTTCCACTCCTGCTCAGCGAGTTTCAGCAGCTGGATCTGCTAATTAGCACCGAAGTACACAAACTACTTTCTTTCCTTGCTCTGATATTGTAATCAAATGTATTATAGGCCAAACCTAAAAGGGAACATGCATATCTGCACTAAAATTCGTGGAAATCCAACCAACGGCAGTCAAGACATTTCACAGAAAGCACAACTTCTGTGGTGTTAAATCAGAAGAATTTTGGCACATCTCAAAGAGGTTTTCTCTGGAGCTAAAGGAAAATTACCAGCACTGCAATAAAGTTTTATTTTTTTAAACCACTTTTGTTGAGTGGGGTTTCATGTACTCAAGTGTAATAGACTTTTCTTTTTATCATCAAGAAAATGCGTCAATTTCTGTCAAATAAGGTACCACAAAACAGTCATGCTTACGTCTGAAGTAGCCCCCAAAAACGTGACTCAGAGCCAGAAAAAACACAATGTGTGAAAAGTACGGGGATCACTAAAGTCATTAGCATCAATTACCATTATTAGGTCATTGTAATCCATCCAATAGTTGCTCAGATCTTTCAATAACAAAAACAATAAAAGGGTATGGTTTTTGATTAGGGGATAAGATTCCTGGCTTTTAAAGCATGTTTTACGTTGTTTTTTTTGAACAACTAAAAGTTTAATATGTTGCTGAAATCCCAGAAATGAGAAAGATGAGATTTTCTTTTCTAGCCAACTGATATACTGCGCATTGCTCCTATCAATTACCACATCCTTTAAAAAAAACAAAAAAACAAAAAACAGCCAAGTTTCTATAACAAAGTGAATGATATTGAAGCCTACAATCCCAGCCCAGGGGCACACACAGATCCACAGCTTTTCATCCACTGTTTGATGTACGCCTGCTTGGGATTATCACAATCCAGGGATTTCACCCTTCAGGCCAATGGGCCACAGTAAGGAGAAGAAATGTGAGAGAGCAAAGCTTGGTGGGTCCGCGGAGCACAAAGGGGATCAAAGCCTTTGTGCTTCTCAAAAGAACTTCTTTAAAGAGGACCTAAAACAACAGAAACCCCAGCACCGAGGCACACTTCAGTAACGGAGCTACTGGTTGCATGCTAATAAAACCTAAAGAAGATGGAAGGGGATGGAAGAGCTGCACAGCCAAACTATGACCCACAGAGAACAACTAATCCAATTACAACAGGTGGAAGCCTGACATGGCACCGTGTGGTCACATAGCCCTCATTCCTCCGAACACAACTGTCCTGAAATAACCTACGTCTGACCCGACACCTGACCGAGACATTCCTGATAGCATTTAAAAAGCAGGTGCAAGCCATTTCTGCAGCTTTGTGTTCTGACATCTGCTTTTGTAGAAGTGAGAACAAAGCAGTAGCAGGTGCAGCGGAACCAGAGCTATATATAAAATAAAATGAATATATAGCTAAAGGTGAATGCACCTCATTTGAACATCGTTACTTGTGTCACAGAGGAGCAGGAGTTTTTCTCGTGTTTTTCAATGTTTTGATCATCTGTGGCAATAGTGGAAGGAAGAAAGAGGAGGAAAAGAAAAGAAAAAGACCTGGAAACAACCCAAAAGCAGAAACTAAATCTGTCCATCTCTGTGTGTGCCGGTTGACGTCAGTGCATGATGAAACCGCTGGAGAAGTCTAGGATAAAGTCATTTAGCAGACAACAGGAAACAATAACCTTTCAAGTTTCCCTTGCTAGTCGGGTTACGCGACTGATATGGCATCTTCAAAGTGAAATTGATGCAGAAAGCTTCCGCTCACAGAGTTCAGGAAGCGGTGAGCTGCCCAGGGACCATTACAGCGCACTCAAACAGGAAGGCAGCCAGATTGTGGGGAGCTAAAATGACATCTGGTAGCACAATCAAATAAAGGAGCTATTTCACAAAATGTGTCTAGCATACATCTTCTAATAAGTGCTTCACACTTCATGTTTGCTTAAAGGATAATAGCTTGCAATCTAGAGCTGGGTGATGCAGCAGCACTACCCTAAAAATACCTCTTACCACCACAAGAAAAATAAAATGGCATTATATTCTGAGAAATAAGTTGTCTTTTTTTTGTTGCTACAATTAATTTTCAGTTTCAGAAAATAGCATATCTTAGCAATTTGATCCAAGTATTACATTTCATTCAGTGTAACTCATAACAACAGTCACACTCTTTACCCTTAAAATATAAAGCAATATTTTAAGGGAAAGACAATAATACAAACAAAACAGAAAACCACCAACAATCTTGATTCCCTATGAGCAAGCACTTTGGCCACAGTGGGAAGGAAAAACTCCCTTTTGACAGGAAGAAACCTCAGGCAGAATCAGGCTCATGGAGGTGCAGCCCTAATTGAGACCAGAAAGAAGGACAAACAACACACTAGAATTTAAGATGTAAAGTGTCCTATCTCTAAGGGAGAGACCAGCTCATTTCTGCCGCTTGTATCCACAATCTCGTTCTTTCAGTCACTACCCACAGCTCGTGGCCATAGGTGAGAGTAGGGACGTAGATCGACCGGTAAATTGAGAGCTTTGCTTTTACACTCAGCTCTCTCTTCACCAAGACAGACTGGTGCAGCGTCCGCATCTCTCATCACTGGCGAACAAGACCTCGAGATACTTGAACTCCTCTACTTGGGGCAGGAACTCATCCCTGACCCGGAGTGGGCAATCCACCCTTTTCCGGTTGAGAACCATGGCCTCAGATTTGGAGATGCTGATCCTCATTCTCACTGCTTCACACTCGGCTGCGAACCGTTCCAGTGCGAGCTGGAGGCCCTCACCCGATGAAGCCAACAGAACCACATCATCCACGAAAAGCAGAGATGAGATTCTGAGGCCACCGAAGTGAAAGCCCTCCGCCACTTGGCTGCGCCTAGAAATCCTGTCCATAAAAATTACGAACAGAATCTGTGACAAAGGGCAGCCCTGGCGGAGCCCATCACCCACCGGGAATGAGTCAGACTTATTGCCGGCAATAATAATAATAATAATAATAATAATAATAATAATGGATTGGATTTATATAGCGCTTTTCAAGGCACCCAAAGCGCTTTACAATGCCACTATTCATTCACTCTCACATTCACACACTGGTGGAGGCAAGCTACAGTTGTAGCCACAGCTGCCCTGGGGCAGACTGACAGAAGCGAGGCTGCCGTATCGTGCCATCGGCCCCTCTGGCCAACACCAGTAGGCGGTAGGTAAAGTGTCTTGCCCAAGGACACAACAATCAGGACAGAGAGCCCGGGGATCGAACCGGCGTGTGAACCAAGCTCTTGCAACAGTTGTAT